TTCCTTCAACCTCCTTATCTCCACTTTCAGAGATCCAACTTTTTCCCTTCCCCGTTCCACTTCACTCCTCAGTGACTTCGTCTCATTGTGGTATTTTTCTTTCAGTTTGTACAAGTCATACTGTAATGACTGAATCTGCATGTTCTTTTGTGCTAACTCGATTCGCAAAGTTTCCATCGCTTCTTCAATTTTCTTTACATCTTGCGCCTTGTGGATAATTGCTGCGAATTTGAACATGGAGAGAAATATTAGCCACTTCGTATTTCAATTAATGCGTCAAGTGCTGTTTTTTTTTTCTTCTTCTTCTTTCCTTCGGCGTGAGTAAAAGTGCTCGCCGACAAACGCACGTAAAGTAGGGCATCCATTGAGAAGCACGCTATTGCGCTTGCGTAGATCGACTTTTAGTGTCATGGTGACAGCCAGACTAATCACTTACCATTCGGAATTAATAGAATTTTTACCTACCTAATCAATGGAACATTTTAGTAATCTTGGTTTACACACGACGTCATCAAAATTGAAAATTAAGGAATTGCCAATACTTTTGAGATTTTAGTTTAGTTAGTTCTTACAACAGCTGAAGGCTTATGTTTTAAAAAATTTTCAGTGTGATGGCGTTTTTCGTCCAGTGAAAAAGCAAGGTTGAATTTCTGAGCTTATGCGTGACACAAAATTAAAATTCTTGCGCTTCAAGTGATGTACCTGTTTTTTAACGTTGAACTCTCGTTGGTTACTTGTGATATTCACCTAGGTTCTAAAGTCTGGTTTTAGTACACCCCTTTAAAATGCACTCTAACCCAGTAACTGTACCTTGTTGTTCATTCACTATGGCCTTGAGTCTGTTACACTCCGCTAAATACTTGTCACTTGTATCTTTGGCCTTTTTCTTTGCAGCGTCGCATTCTTTTCTGAGCGATTCGATTTCATTTTGATCTCCAATGCACGAAGAATTCTAACAAGGAGCAAAAAAATAAGTCGTTAAATGTATATCACTTCTGTATAACAAGTAGAGGCCATTGGTGACGTCAGTCTGGAATTATACCACAGCACCTGGCACATAAGCTACAATAACAAATATCATTTGAGAGATATATCCAAAACCGAATTCTCAGACAACACAAAATGCTCCCTCAACCTTCTGGTACTCCAAAAAATGTATAAGGGTATTTTGCACCCAAAGTTCCGAACTTTATTGCACGGTTCTGCATAAACCCTTAGTAAAGAGCTGCATTCCTAAAAGACTCTTACTATAACTTCAATTCATGAATAAGGAAGCTTTTCTTTCTTTCTCAACACTCAGGAAAATTTAATTTNTGTTGTTTATAGAAAACAGTAGTGGCTGTATTAGACCAGATGGTAAAGCCCCATTGGCCATATCTTCCAAAACGACAAGAAAACTATGAAACAGAAGAAGAGAGGGAGGCTATTGAAGGACTTTGGAATACAATCTCAGATGACCCATTGAACTACCATTTTTGCTATGATATTTTGGATGGAGATGAAGAAGGACAACCCCCAAAGATTATGGCTTCAGATGGACAAAGGCAGACAGAGAACAAATATTTTAATTGGAGAGAGGATTCTTGTTTACATGCAATTGCAAAGAGTAACAACAAGGTAAGATTAATCTAGAGACAATCAAACTTATGGACAAATCCATGGTAAAATATGTAAAAGCACTATTATTGAAAGATATTTAGGAAAAGTAGAAATATATATATATTCTGTATACGAGGGAAACCCTGACCCTGTACACCCCAAATAATCATACTTAAATAGAATAAATGTTTGAAAAGAAAATTTGTGGTCATCACACCTGACTAGTAACCGGGGAATGTGGTTTCAAATCCCGCTCAGGGCAAATTTTCTTTTCAAACATTTATTCTATTTACATATATATATATATATATATATACTCGCGCTTGTTGGATATGAGATTATTATAGCCAACGAGGTTCGTAGCGCCGAGATGGCTATCTATCATCTCATATCAAACGCGCGCTCGTGGAATAAGTGTTAAATATATATAAATATATATCTTATTAGACGTTGTATTGTGTATTATCGCTGAGTACTTTTACGAATTGTGCAGTATTTTGACGAGCCGGTAGGGTGAGTCAAAATACAAATAATGAGTAAAATACTCAGCGATACGACACACCAAAACGTGTAATAACTTATTTCTTATCCAACACGCCAAATTTTTATTTCAATGTGGGCGAGTTTCGTGGATATTTATTTACGGGGAGTGCGTGGCAGACGGATGCGAAGCGGAACGGAATTAGCGCCTTGTCGTGTTGCTGTTTCTGTTTTCTTCAAAAGATGACGAGGTTTCATTGTCGTCTAACTGCTTTTCTTCGTTCGATTTATCTAATAAACTTGGATCAAGATTCGCCAGCCATTCCGACTCTTCGTCGTCAGAAAAATAATTTTTTTTTTTTTTTTTGCAACTTCAATCGAATTCGTCGCTTGCGCGATGCCAGAAAATCTGTCTAACCGGTTCTCTAGAGTACAAATACCGCGTGATATTTGTACTCGTCTTGGGCGTTATTTGTATTCTACGGAGTGTAGTTCTATAATAACTTGTAATAATTTGCTTTTTTCAAAATTTTTCTGTAGAATTGTTAATTTTTTTTTGATACAGAAGAGAAAAAAAAACAGCGTGGTAGCCGATTTTTTCAAGAATCAAGTATAAACTGATCAGGTTAGAGAAGTTTAAAACTTTTGAGACTGTTTACTTAATGACTTTCCAACTCACCACGACCTTCCCATCTGCTCCTTTATAAGATATCCAATTTCCTTTTGTAGTGATATAAGAGAGCTTGAATTCCGTGACCCAGCTACTTTCAATTCCTTGTGTAGAAACAGCGCACAAGTCAACTGTTCTGTTGAAGTCAACTCGAAGCCATTCTCCGCGGCTTGTTCCATTCCTTGCACACCAACCTTGTCCGTTTAGTCGGCCGTGAGAAGCTTGAAAGGACACTTCTCTTTGAGACGATGCTGTCATCTGCTGATCGGAGATAATGTCAGGATTGGCCACACCAACAGAATTGCTGAAGCAGTTGTCCACAAAATCTGCACAAATGAAGTTTCAACCATGAGGTCATTTGACACATGTATAACGTAAGATAACGAGAGATGTCACCCGTATCTTTGCATTTAAAGCTTCAACATTTTACCACTGATCTATAGAAAACTCATGGTAGGCGAATTCGCATTTCCCATTCGAATTTGAAACTGAAGCATCGATATCTTACACTCTTCAGAATACGTAAGTTGCATGACTCCGATGACTCAGTATGGCGAGGATCGTAGTCATTTTGATACATTATCATAGACAGCTTCCTTGCCGGGAAGTCAATAACGTTCCAGAAACTTGCCTTATTTCTATTTCAGAGGGAAATGCATCTTACCTTTGCAGTTACTTCCTTGCCATTCCAACGGACAGACACAACTGTAACCTCCATTTACATCTTGACAAGTTCCTTTACCACATGGACTGGCTGCACAGCCTTCGTTATTTAAATGAACAAAATGTTTCAATCGTAGTCTTTTTAATACGGAAAAACTTTTCCTTCAACTTTTTGCGCCATTTAGTTTCATCCTAAGTCAAATAGTGATAGATTTCGTTAGTTGATGAAAATTACTCTCAAAAAGTACAAATCTTGTAGAATAACACCTTTTAATTGCATCGTTATGTTTCTACAACACAAAATGCCGAAATTCCTTTCTGCTGAGCTGAATACAGGGCACGGTTTTGTGACATCCTAACGTCCCCAAATAAAGAATACTAAAGCTAGCTTGCACCGTGATAGAACGATGATGGATTTATGAGAACACTTGAACTTAGTCAAATAGCGTGTGATGGGGTCTTGAAGATTAATTGCTGAAAAGTTGGTAAATGGGAGTATTTCACTGTTAGAAAATATTTTGGAATATAT